TCAACAATGATGCTATCTTCTTGTATGGAATATTGCCATACACAATCCTCCACTGCTTGAATACTTCATCTTCATTATTCACAATTACTTTAATCTCTTCTCCGTCAAATGGTAGCCCCAGAAATTCATGCACATCTTTTGCCCTCATTTTCCTTGTCTTCCCTCTTATGGAAATGTTTTTTGATGCAACATCAACTACAGACATAAACTCTCCACACAATTCTCTTTGAATTGTGTGACAACACACTTCAACCAACTTGTCAAACCCTATTTTTTTCAGCCTATTCATCAGTTCCTTTCTTTCTTTGATGTGCTTGCAAACTTGCATGAATTGTTTTGGTGCACATCTTGTATAGAAAGGAATAATATACTTCTTGGACTTGGTGGGAGGTCTTTGTGCCTTAGCCCTTTCACAATATTCCTCTCTTTGTTGTTCTGATAATTTATCCCACGCCTTTCTCACTTGTGCATTTCCTGCTTCAAGTGATTTGTACTTCTTTGAGCTTTTCTTGTAGAATTCCTCCGTAAACAAGGCATAACCGGAGAAATTACTGCTTCTTTGTGCATCCTTCCCCATTTGGCAATTCTGCTCAAATCCTGAACCCCAACTCTTTCAGACCACAGCAAACTTCTCAAACTAGTTCCAGAAAGATATACCAAAAGAGGGGTTTTTCCAGGTTTCTCAGTATGTCAACAAATGAAACGCTTAATTAGTGATAAAAATATTCAATTTTTCACCAATAAATGAAAGGCTGCATCATGCATAATTCAGACGCAATCATCAATATGATAATAGAAATCCCAAAAAGGAAAGTAGTAACAATTACAGACCAAACAATCTTGACAAATACTTTGAACTCCAAACAAGACACATCAATTATTCAGCCTCAAATCTGATTCTTCCATATTATCATATTCTAGTTATTTACCATTTACGCATTTCATACCTCATCTCATCATGTATCATTCTTCTTACAAGCCTTCTTGGAAGTGCTTTTAGAAGGCTAATGCCTCATCATGTATCATTGTTTTAAACATGCTCCAATACGCATACCATCTTATGGTCAAGGGAAAAAAAAAACATGGGCCAAGCATAATCAAAAGCATCCAGCCGTATTTGATGCAAATATTCAGCAATGATCAAACGCAACAACAAACTGCCAAGACATGCTTTTCTGATTCATATGATTTTACCTTCTTCAGTGTCGACAATGCCTCTGTGTGCGAAAAGAAATTGTGAGAATAGGAGCTCTGCTTCAGACGCCGATCAACGGAGCCACCAGGACGACTCCTCTTCGCTTGAAACGCAAATGACGACAGCCACAACGACGACCTTCACTTCGCTTCTGATGCCGATCAACGGAGCCACCACAACAAGCTCGACTTCGCTTCAAATGCAGATGAACAGAGCCACAACGACAACCTCCACTTCGCTTCAAACGCCGATCAACAGCGCCACTAGGACGAGCTCCACTTCCCTTCAAACACCAGGACGAGCTCCACTTTGCTTCAAACACCGATGAACGGAGACGCCAGCACTTCGCTCCGCTTCGCTTCCAACACCAGGACTTCGCTCCGCTATACTTCACTTCGCTCCACCAAAACAGAGCCACTGCCACAGGCTTTCAAGGACTTCGGTCACGATTTTCGGTGGGTTGTGAGTAGATTTGAAGCAGCACGGTGGGTTGTGGCCGGATTCTTAGCACGAACGATTTCGAACAGGATGAAGGCGCCAGACGGTTTCTTCAATCGAACAACAAACAGGGTTTCAAATTTTCAGTCAAAGCAATTTCGAATGGGAAATCATAGTAAGGGCAAATAAGTCATTTGAAGATTCTGAAAATTACATCTGAGTCCCTTTGGGACTTCAAAAAATTATCAGATTTCAAGGGACCTATTTGATGTATTTTGTTCTCCATGGGACCTCAATGTCATTTTCCCAATAACTAATTTTAGTTTAATTTTTAAATTTTTATAAAGCCACTATTAACTCCGAATTTAGGGGGTAGTTGCAATTTGACAATATCCTGGTACAGTTGATTTGATTAAAAATAATAATTGTGGAAAAAAGAATATTAAATATAATAATTATATTCAGAATGCAGAAGAATAACAATTAAGGAAAACGACAATAAAATGATACTTCAATTTTGAATACTCCAATGTCACTTTAATAGGATAAATTCCATTTTAGCCGCGCATGAACAAATAGGAATTTTAAAATTTGTTGAAATAACTATATTGATCATATATCATTTGTGCTTATTTTTTTGGAAATGTTTTGAAAACAGGTTGTTAATTATGTTACCAGATTTAGTAATACTATTAGATGAATTGTCAAGCACATTATAGAAGTTGAAAATTTCTCAATTTATTATGCATTCATCAATCTCTCAAAAACTTTTGTGATATGCAAGTAAAGGCTAAATAATAATTTATTTATTCATTTATACCATTTATGTATACTATTAAAGCAAATTTTATCAAAACTTGTATACAGCAAGTTATGTTCGACTAAGTAATATGGTTAACAAAACCTTTTTTTTTTTTTGTAATAACATGATTAACAACTTTAATAATGTCATTCACCATGTGAGCTGAAAGGTATTTTGACCTTGAGTATCTAATAAATTGGAACATTTTCAAGTTTTATAATGTGATCGACAAGTTATGTAATGATATTAATAAGTTTAAAAACACAAATAGCAACATATTTTTTCAAGAAACTGTGAAAGTGGGATTTTTCCTACTCCAACGCGTAACAATACTAATAACTCTAATAACACTAGTTGTGATTTTTGAGAGATTTTTGAGTGCCTAATAAACTGACAATTTTTTTAATTTTTATAACGTGATTGATAAGTCACATAGTGATATTAACAAGTTTGATAACATAATTAACTTATTTTCATAAAATAAGCATAAATAATATAAAGGTAATATAATCATATAAGCTAGTTTCAAAATTCTTATTTAAACAAATTTCAAAAATTTCTATTTAGTCATGTACAACTAAAATGAAATTACTAGGTGATTATTTGTGGTTTTTAAAATTTCTATCTAGTCATGTACAACTAAAATCAAAGTATCAATTTTTTCGTCGTGTTTCTTCTTTGGGAAAATCACTAACAGGTCCCACAGAAGGCAATTTATTACTCTGAGGTCTCACGAAATGTCAAAATCACTAACAGGTCCCAAGGGACCTCAGAGTAATATTTTTGTTTTGTAAAATGACATTACTGCCCCTCATATTCCAGATTCACATTTGCTTTGTCATTACGATTTACAACCTCAGCAGCGACTATTAACAACCTAATGAGAGGGCGTTAACAACCCTAGCAGTATCCGTTAACAACTTACTTTATAGAATATATAACCTCCGCATAAGAGTAAATTATAACCAAATAGTATAATACAACAACTTTAATACTAAAATGGGAAGCTTTTTGATATCATTAAGAATTTTAACTAAACCCAATAGGATTATAGCAACATTTTAATGCGAAGATCCATTTACAACCTCAATGGTGAGTATTAATAACCCAAAGAGAGCTGTTGACAATCTAGGCAGTATCTATTAACAATTGACTTTATAAGATAATATAACCTCTAACAACTATATAAGATTAACTTTAAGACTATTTAGTTATAGTTTAGTTAGTTATAGTTAGAAGTTATATTATCCGATAAAATTAGTTGTTAACAGACACTGCTAATGTTGTTAACAATTCTCCTTAGGTTATTAATACTTACTGTTGATGTTGTAAATGGATTTTCGCATTAAAATGTTGCTATAATCCTATTGGGTTTGGTTAAAATTCTTAATGATATCAAAAAGCTTCCCATTTTAGTGTTAAAGTTGTTGTATTATACTATTTGGTTATAATTTACTCTTACGCGGAGGTTATATAATTCTATAAAGTAAGTTGTTAACAGCTACTGCTTAGGTTGTTAATGCCCTCTCATTCGGTTGTTAATAATCGCTGTTGAAATTGTAAATGGATATTCGCATTAAAATGTTGCTATAATCCTATTGGGTTTGGTTAAAATTCTTAATGATATCAAAAAGCTTCCCATTTTAGTGTTAAAGTTGTTGTATTATACTATTTGGTTATAATTTACTTTTACGCGGAGGTTATATAATTCTATAAAGTAAGTTGTTAACAGCTACTGCTTAGGTTGTTAATGCCCTCTCATTCGGTTGTTAATAATCGCTGTTGAGATTGTAAATGGATATTCGCATTAAAATATTACTATAATTCTATTGGATTTAGTTAAAATTCTTAATAATATCAAAAAGCTTCCCATTTTAGTGTTAAAGTTGTTGTATTATACTATTTGCTTATAATTTACTTTTATGCAGAGGTTATATAATTCTATAAAGTAAGTTGTTAACGGCTACTGCTTAGGTTGTTAATGCCCTCTCATTCGGTTGTTAATAATCGCTGTTGAGATTGTAAATGGATATTCGCATTAAAATATTACTATAATCCTATTGGATCTAGTTAAAATTCTTAATGATATCAAAAAGCTTCCCATTTTAGTGTTAAAGTTGTTGTATTATATTATTTGGTTATAATTTACTCTTATGCAGAGGTTATATAATTCTATAAAGTAAGTTGTTAACGGATACTGCTAGGGTTGTTAACGCCCTCTCATTAGGTTGTTAATAGTTGCTGCTGAGGTTGTAAATCGTAATGACAGAGCAAATGTGAATCTGGAATATGAGGGGCAGTAATGTCATTTTACAAAACGAAAATATTACTCTGAGGTCCCTTGGGACCTGTCAGTGATTTTGACATTTTATGGGACCTTAGAGTAATAAATTACCTTCTGTGGGACCTGTTAGTGATTTTCCCTTTTTTTTTCTATCGGCAGCACTTAGAGTCCTTGCAAATCAATGGCAGCAAAAGCACAAACATACAGCCCGTAATAATAATAGCAGTAGCAGTAGAAATCGAAAGAAGCTGGTGGGACCGGCATTAAATATCAGTTTTGGTACCTGACTAGAGTGAGGAAAGATGAGAATGGGAGCAAAAATGCTCTTTGAATCACAAAGGAACCCCAACTTCCGAGTCCCAATTGTTTAATTATTTGTCCAAAATCGCCTATCCATCTCCACTTTCCTCTTTCTGCTATGGCCAAGCCTTACAGGAGAGAGAGGCCATCTTCTTCCTCTTCCTCCTCGGCTCGCGCCAATCTCGCCTCCTGTCTCGTCGCCACCGTCTTCTTGATTTTCCTTCTCATCGTCATCCTCGTCGTTTACTTCACAGTGTTCAAGCCTCAAGACCCCAAGATCTCCATCAGCGCCGTCCGGCTTCCGTCCTTCTCCGTCTCTAACGGCTCCGTCAGTTTCACCTTCTCCCAGAACGCTTCCGTCAGAAACCCCAACAGAGCCCTCTTCTCTCATTACGATAGCTCTCTTCAGCTTATCTACTCCGGCAACCAGGTCGGCTTCATGTTCATCCCCGCCGGCCATATCGACGCCGGAACTACCAAACACATGGCCGCCACTTTCTCCGTTCAGTCTTTTCCCTTGTTCACCCCCTCCTCTTCCTCTGCCGATGGGTTCAATGAAGTAAGGGTTGGGTCCACCATGGAGATAGAGTCCAAGATGATGATGGCGGGTCGGGTCAAGGTGCTGTACTTGTTCAGCCATCGCGTGATGGCCAAGGCAGGATGCAGAGTCGCCATTGGCGTGAGCGATGGCTCTGTTTTGGGTCTTCACTGCTAATTCTTTTCCCTTTTCTTCTGATTTGCCTCTAATCTATGCAAGTGTAGTTATTAATTGCTAGTCATCGCAGTATTGTGTAATTTTTCTTCTCTCTTTTTGGTTTTATGAATTGGGTTGTGATTGTATACTCAGATGGGCATGAAATTGTAAAAATGGATTTTGATTGTCCCCTTGAATGTTACATTTTGTGATTTCTTCTTCGCTTGTTCTTCCTCTGAATTACTGGAAAGTTGTAATTCTGGTTCAACCCTTAATCATGTTCTTTAGCTTAGCTTGTTTGGTTCCAAGGAAAAAGAAGGCTTTAGGGAAAAGAAAAAGGGATTTTGTGGGGTGTGGTGGGAACGAGGGAGCTTTTGCTTTTCCATTGATGAGCTTAATTGTCACATAAGCAAAGCTGGATGCCATGCTTCATGATGCATTTGACTAAGTAACATTTTGCAGTAGGCAGGAACTGATTTCTTGAGCGACTAGGGCGAAGATCATGGGGATAATGATAATTTAAAGGAACTTACTAAATATTTATTCAAATTATAAAAATTGGGAAATTGTGGTGGTGACGTCAAGAAGTAAAGTGCGCCTCCGTAATCCACTTTCAATTCAAAAAAAAAAAGTGCGCCTCCGTAGACGTGAGTTAGTTTTATATGTAAAATTTATTTTACATATTTACCAATTTTTTAAAATTAATTTTATTAATATTCTTTGAGCAATAATCAAGAAAGAAGGGATGAAGAAAATTAAGAAAGATGATTAGGATATTTTGAAAAAAAATTTATATGATATTAACTAGTTTAATTAACATTTTTAATACAGTTAAATGAGTTAATTAGGTTTTCTATTTAGGATAAGAGGAGTAGCACCTTTTGTGCTTAATCTATTTTAGCTCTCACACTTATAATTTTAAAAATTATTTCTAGTTTCTATTAATTACAAATATAAAAACAACTATATGAAATCGTTTTTACCACAAATAATTAAAGGTGTATTTTATAAAAGTAACGCATATTTTTATATATAAATAATTAACTTAATTAATTTTTATAAATTAGTCCTGTAACTTTTATACATAAAAAGCGTGGGGTAACTTGATACTGTAGTTGCTTGTCTATGTTCTCCCAAAATCACAGATATAATAATATGTGCCGGAAAGAAAGAAAGGGAAGAAAAAGATGGGGAAAGAGGAGGCCCTCTAAAGAGACTAATTTGTCTCATTACTGGCGGATATGAAATCAAAAGGAAGGACAACTACCATAGAAGGATTACTATTGAAAGGTAATTTGTTTATTTATTAAGTATGATGTGGTTACTTGTGGGGTGGCCACGTCTTAAAAGGTAGGGACTCATGGAAGCGACAGCCATCACCGCCCTTTCCGAATGAATGGAAAATGACCCTTTCTTAATCCACAAGATATGAACGCCTTTTTCTGAAAATTAATTTGGTCTTCAATCAATGGTTGAAATACTTTTTCTTATCATTAACACTATACTCCTGCTTTTACTCAGTACGTAACATCGATTTTATTTGTCTTTTATCAAGAAAAAAGCAAAATATTAGGAAGGATGGAGTTAAAAAAACGTTAATACAATATCAGGTTCTTATAATTTATCTTTATTTTGATTTTGATCTTTATAATTTTCAAATTATTCATTTTGGTTTTTCAAGAACAAAATGGTTCAAACTTTTTTTAAAATATAGGAACTAACGTTTTTAGACGAAAAAAAATAAGAGACCTATATCTATAATTTGAAGCTATAAGAACTAAAACTAAAATAAGAGCAAACTATAAGAACTAAACATTATATTAATATTAATGCTTTAAAAAAAATATAACAATTCAACTTGTAATTATAAATTATAAATTTAACCTAACGAGTCAGTCAAAAGAGTAGAGATGATTGCTGCTCATCATGACAATAGCATCTCACTTTAGTCACTGCTGGTAAGTTTTCTTGCAAGTTTCGGTTATGCTTTAAGAATGTATTCGCCTTGGGGCTCTCTGTGTGTGTACATATAATTAGTATATAATATTATCCATGACTTTCGTTTAAAGAAAAGAAGAAAAAGGGGTATTACGCTAATATCAGTTACCATTATTAAATTCATCTGGGATGGACAACTAGGAACATGTTGATTCTTCTCGCCTTTCTTAACCTTTTCCTTTTTGTGACAACGAAAGTATTATTATAATCCTTGCAGTGCTACATAAACCATAAACGGTGTTACAGAACAAAAAGCAACCGCTGTTCTATACAATACCCATATTCAAGGACAAATCTCATCGATATCTTCAGCCATCATATTTACCATAACCCTACAAGAACTAGTATTTGTAGAACTTGGATTCCAGGTGCAAATCGGGTTGCCACCACTGATGAATACCATGAGCTTCTTTGAAATCCCGTGAAGGAGTTACATTAACAGTCAAATTTGCTGAAGGAATTAGGTGCAATGGTTCAGATGATTCCTTTCCAGATGCACTCATCAGCAAACCAGTGAGTGAGTTTTGAGATGCTAACCTTTCAATGCCACCAGCTCCAATCTCTTGCATTCTTCTTCTGTGCTCAAAATATCCAACGTACTCTGAGCAAATGTGATCAGAAGGATTCACAAATAAACATGGGACCCAGGAAGACAAAGCAGCAAATGAATCAAAAGTCAAATTCCTTGGCTGCTTAACTTTCATAGCAATGGTAAGTCCAGCTGTTATCACACTGCCAGCAAATCGAATCCCATGTTTCAGTTTCTTATCCTTAATCCTCTCAATTGGAGCAGCAACATATGGTGGATTGAAAAGAAAAGATTCAAGCAACTTGCCCGTTTTGGCCATTGTTTTCCCACAAAGCATCGCCATGGCTGATCCCAGAGAGTGACCAGACAACCAGATATTTGAATCATTAGCAGACGCAACCATGTTACGAACAGCTTGGATAGCTATCTCTGCACGAGAGGTCTGATGAAGTCCATTTCGAACTATGTGCATATCCAACTCGATGTCACGAGAAACCGAGTCTGTCTTGGTTATGGTACCTCGAAAGGCAATCACATAACGAGGGATTCTTCTGCGTAAAAGGTCATTACTCTGGGATGACTGAGGCTTGAACTCATAGATCGCACCAAAGATAGAAGAATCAGCATCATCTATAAGTGGACGTAATAACTTAAAGTTGAAGAAATCCCACCAAGGAGGTGCAAGAGCATTGGGACCTTCCCGTCTTTCTTGTCGATCCCTTTCTAGGATGTAAACACCTTGGACCAAGCTAGCAGCAACTGTCATCCGATTATTGGCATCGTCCCTGGATAAAGAAGCAAATTGTTCAGTATCATTGGCAATACCATTATAAAACCAATCAAAGCATATTCTCATAAATGAATTTTTATAAAGAGAGGAGAAGGGAAGGGAGGAGAGGGGAGAGGAGGACCCACCTCTAAAATACTTTGAACTAAACGAGGGGAGGAAAAGTACCCTCCCTTCAAAGCAAACAAACTTAGTGATTTAGTCAGCTAAAATATTCAATACTGAAGTTATATGTCCAAAAAGAATAACTCAGATGTACCATGTTGAATAATTTATGGGATGCCGGAAGATGTGGGGAGAAGTAGTTCTTAAAAAAAAAAAAAAAATCGAAAAAAAGAGGTAACCAGAATGTTAAGCAAATGACATGAGTTTTAACACACAATGCTACACTAGAGTGCATAAAACTATTGACTTTCAAGGTAACAGACAAGCGTCAGAGATCACTCAACGTTGGTGTAACAACATAAACTAAGTCTGAAAAAAAAAAAGAAGAAGATAAATTTATAACGTAGGGGATTTTTTCAACGGCTCATACCAGTCAACAGATGTTAGATGTAAGGGTCCTGAGAGGTCAAAGTATTCCCTCTCAGACGCCATGTATGACACCCTATGCTTTCCACTCCTTCGTTCGTTCGTTCCTTCCTTCCTTCTCAGTGTCTTCCAAAGATCCTGACAAAATCCAAAAAGGGGAAATAATCTATCAATACTTTGCCAATCAGAATGTCAGGAAACCGATGAACAGTTATTAGACAATTTAGGGGTGTTTGGATGGAAGCCAAACTATGGTTTCAGAAGAGCTTTTACAGTTTACGAAGTAAATATGTGGAGGAGTTTTTTGCAAAAAAGTGCTTCTGAGAAGCACTTTTGAGGGTTGCCAAACAACCCCTTAATCTCTCTTATTGTCAATGATGAATCATTTCACATGAAAAACATGCTTCACAAAAAAGAACACATTTCAGTTGCCCTGCACAATCTTAATTCTAGTATGGTGGGATGTCATCAGCCGTGTGAACATACATCAAAAGGGACATACAACGAGAAGTCAAATTTCAAACATTTAATCACACATATTTTCTACATCCCGGGGAAATTTTCTTTTCAGAATGCAAATGCAATGATGCTGAAAAGATGCAAAGTGTTGGATGAAATTCCTAACATTCGCATAACAATGAGAAGACCCAAGAAGGTAAATGTTGAGATCTGGCCATAACCAGAATCCAGTAGAGAAATAACATTTTGGTACTTGGACACATTATAGGCAAGCAATGTAACTAGCCCCATTGCTCATCAGCGCACAGAAAATGTCAGCAGAAAGCTAGGAAAATAAAAATTCTTCTTTTTCTTTTTCTAATCGGAAGCTTAAAGAACAGCATAAAGACACTGTGGTCTTTCAGTTTCAACTTAGATTTAGCAAGAAAATTTCGTAAACCAAAGACTAACAAGTACGGGGATTTGTACAAATCTAAAAGCTTCAGAAAGAAATAATAATTAAAGAACACTCGGATCACAAGTAGAGGGAAAAAATTACTAATTAGCCCCAGAATCTCGAAGCTCCCTCTTCACTCGAATGAGTTGAAATATTATGAGAAGCATGTAAAGAATTGTCAATATTATGAGAATCATGCAAAGAATTGTCACAATAAAAGGTCTTTTCAACACCAAAGACTCACAAACATGTTACGAAGCAAATAAAAACAAATAAAGATAAGAATGTGGAAGGAACTGGGAATCAAAGAGGGGGATGTACGAAGAAGCGAAGATCAGAGGTGACCGCAGAGCATGGTGATCCCCTACCCGAACAATGCAGATCGAAGAGATTCAGAGAATGGGAAAGGAGTGGATGATTGGCGAAATAAGTTCAGACGTCGCTATCTCGATTCGTGGATTTTGCACTCTCAACCAACGCAG